TGTTGACCAGTGAAATAAATGAGGAAACTGTTTCTGGTGTGCTGCTGAGTGCTGCTTCTAGTATAAAGAACAATCTGGCAATGAACCTTATTCTTTCTGCTTTTTATCTTTTTTCTTTGTTTTCTTCTCTCGGTGACCCACAGTATTGAACTCCAAAGATGATATCAACAACCCATTTGTTGAATAAACTTAAATGGTCCTCACTATCTACTTCTAAGGCACAGTGTCTCAAGAAGTTTATCAGCATTTCATACAATCTTTTTGTTTTTTAAGACAAAAAGTCTTACTGTTGTAAGAGAAGTGCATAGGTGCACAAGTTCCTAATATATATAGAAAAATCTGAAGCTAAATGTCAAGTATATATTTGTAAAGCTTTTCACAAAAGTGCATTTAGTTTCTGTTATCCATGTACATTTGTATAGGAACATTAACATAATTAAAAAAAATCTCTCTGAAATATATCCTTTGGCATTTCTGAACCAGCCTCCATGTCTGATTTCTTAATCTAGAATAAACTTTAGCATTTTCCTTTTAGATGAATACTTGTTATTCCTCCCTTGCTACTTTTTAATCAAGCTTGTTGTTTTGATTCCTGATGTAGAAGCTTTGGGTGTGCATAGATATATATGGTTGTGGATTATTGGGATATGAATGGGATTGCCAGGCAGTAGGAAATGTAAAATATCAGCTAAGTGTTCCTCAGAAAAATGCCAGAATGGGAGGAGATGAACATCGATATTTCTTTTCAACCTTGTCACCCTTGCTTTCAGAAAAACTTTCCAAAGCAGGGAAGTGCCACTTCTTTCCTATGAAATGCAATGGGTTGAATAAGTAATAATCACTGCATGTTCTAACTCAGACCATTGGCATCTCCTACGGTCACATGTACACCAGGCATGATGGTATTTTTTTTAAAGGAATCAATTTGGGTATTTCTTAAGGCAGCTGGAACACTGGGATGTTTGTAGGACAGGTCCTTAGCCTTGCTTTGTCCTTGTTGAGTTCCAGTTGTACAAAGGAACCAGGAAACTTGATTCATTTGTCCACCCAATAATTTTTGTGGCATGAAGAAATTAACATTATGCTTCCTACTTTCCACAGCATTTCCCGGAGAAGGGGATGTCACAGGAGTGCTTCTGCAATCCTAAATTACTGCGAAGGTTCATTGGTCAAGAGGTAGAGGGACAAGGGCTGGCAATAGTCAGCCCTGGGTACAGGAAGTGACAAAACCAGCGTAAAGTCACGTATGCTACCTTCCTCCTTCCAAATGTATTTTAGTCACAGCTCGGAATCTATCCCTGTTTGCATAACCCAGATGGATTATGTTTTTGATTGTTAAGTAGAGAGTGAATTTCTTATGCAAGATGATTTCCACACATCAATAGGCAGGAAAGAATTGGTAATATTATGTACCTGTAGAACACATTTATTCAGAAATTTTACATGCACCCTACAACCACTCCTGAGAGGACTATCTAGTGTCTCTCTTTTTAAAGATGGAACTGTGGTTACCTGATTTGCCCCTAGATCAGAGTGAGTCAATGACACTGCTACAAGTAGAATGCAGAGTCTTCTGGCTCCTTAGCCTACAGCTGAGCTACTTCAATGTACTTCTCTGCCTGTATCATAATGTAGGACCTAATCCAAATCCCACTGAAATCTCAAAGATCAGGTGTATATTGCAATTAGTCTCTAAATTTACAGTATAAAAAAATGTCCTATATTTCACCTTTTTCTATAGGCTTGCCCTTATAAATATAATATTTGTTAAGAAACATACATTGTTTCTCAGGGTTAGGGTGTTTTGGGAATTTTGTTTTTGTTTTTGTTTTTGGGTTGTTTTGTCTTGTTTTGCAACGAGCATATATATGTGGAAGAAATAAAGTCTACAATGAACTTTGAACCATTGTGCACTCCACAATACATTCATTAACTTTAAGCAGAGCTATGAATAACAGTCTAGTTCCCTAAGGTTCTTGTGAACCAGGGGTGACTGGTTTTAAAACTAGTAGCAAGATTTATTTCTGTCTCATAGTGCTGTTGGTAGTGTGACTATGTAGTCTAAAACTCCTAGGTATTGGGTTCCTATCTCTGGAGATGTAAGTCCATAGGTGCTGAATAGTGAGGCAGATGCTGCCAGTAAGGGACTTCTATTTAAACAAAAGAAATGAAAGTTCTTGGTATTGACCTTTTTTGCATAGTTGTAAAGTGAAGCCAATGGTGAATACTTCTGAAAACCTCAGGATAAATAAAACTGTAATCTCAAGAAGCTTTTTGTCAAAATAATAAAAAAAACCCATCAGTACTAGAAGAACAGAAGTCAGACTTGAGAATTACTATTTAGTACATTCATGATATCACACATTTTTAAATAGCTATCTGCCTGAACAGCTAAAGAAAAGCAGATGGCCTAACTGTTCTCCAAACTCTGTTTAGATTTCAAGTCCAGAATATGGATAATACCAGCATTGCATACTTCTTGTGGTTATTTATAATGCTCACTGATTCACATAATTTGTTGCTGACATTTTCTGTCATCTTTCCTAATTTGGGTTAGTTCTTGCTATATTTCTAAGAATGTTTTCTTTAAACTGATAAAAATTTAGCAGTTCCTTGTACCCTAGAGAGAGAGAAAATAAAAAATGATTTATCCTTTTAAAAGACAATGTATGCTAATTTGTATTTAATCGATTATTGAAGTAGAAAGAAAATAAACATTTCAAAGCATAAGCCTATGGATGACTCAACTAAAACTGCAAAGACCTGCCAATGTTTCAGTCTGCTATCAAATCCTTTCATTTCCTTGGTTACAAATCTTTTAAGCACTGCTAGAACACTTACATTTTGATATTAGTGATATTATTGTTTGTATATAACAAGGATTTAAGTCAAATAAGTGGTCCAAATAGCTGCCTTTAAAATGTAATTTTATATTCCAGACTGATTGATTTCTATCTTTTAATAAAATAACGACAGTTATTACATGAAAATGAATCTATTCTTTGCTTTTATTTCCTTTTCCATTCACCCTGGCAAAAGCCATCCACAAGTAGGAGAACAGGATTTTTTCCCTACTGTTTTGAATTCTTTTTTAGGCTGATGCCATGAAGGTGTTTTGATACCAGTTTGATATTCCCTCAGTGAGGCATTGATTGGGCCCCACCTCTGGAATCTGAGGGGCATGATGCCACAGAGTTTCATGTGCTGTGCTAAGAGCTTCTACCCCCTCAGAAATTATGAATGTATATCAGTAGAAGCTGCAGTTGCTCAGTCCCTCAAAAGAATCCTGACATATGAGAAAAAAGTAAGGGAGCTGGACTTCTCAGTAGAAAAGAGAAGATGCTTAGGTGGCCTAATGGAAACCTTCAAAAATTATTGCAGACAGTTTTTAGAGCAGGGTTGGGTAAAATGGTGCATCCAGCCAGCAGCTCCCACTTGCATTGCTCTGGCAGGTCTCCATGGAGATCCTGGGACTGGTGGGGCTGTGACATTGTGGGGCCGAGGTCTCCATGGAGACTGGCCCAGGGTGCACTGGCAGGGTGTGTGGCTGGGTGGGGAGCTGCTTCAGGGCCAGGGCAGGATCTTGCAGCAGTGACAATGTCCGAAGCTAGGCAGGACAGAGCTGCAATCTGCTGCCTGCACACCCCTGGGGCAATGGATCGTGGCTCTGCCATGGCTCCAACCTGCACTGGCATTGCCTAAAGATCCTGGCCCCAGCCCTGGAGCAGCTCCTTGCCCAGTCACATGCCCTACCAGCATCTCAGGCTGGTCTCCATGGAGATACTGGCTCCCTGCTGTCATGGCCCTACTGCTCCTGGGGTCTCCATGCAGATCTGCTAGAGCAATATGGGGGTAGAGGGGAGGGCTGGAAAATGGAGTCCACCGTGGGCCCAATCAGGCCTGTGGGCTGGATTTTGCCCACCCCTGGTTTAGAGTGATGTACACTATTCAAATGCAGATGATGGGCTCAGTATCAAAGAGCAGAATGCCACATCTTCAGCTGCTATAAATTAGTATAACATTATTGGCTTCAACAAAAATGTACTGATGTATACTAGTTTAAAGAAACCTCTCTAAGTGAGTGTCTTAGAGGGACTAATAATGGAGGATAGAGCTTTTCAGCTCTAGGTCATGAGTTAGTCTAATTCAGCCTAGGTTGTTAATATATGTACATAGTATGTATGTATGTGTACACACACACACACACACACACACACACACACACACACACACACACACACACACA